TTATAATAGTGATCATTAGGATAGACAAATTTTTTTTTTGTTTTTTCGATATCCCTTTACCTTTTCTATTCTTGTTTGTATCTTTTATCATATCCTCTTTACCTCTGTTTTATTTTTTCTTTTGTGTTTGTGCTTTTGTTAATTTGGCTTTTTTGACAAAGCATACAGCTACTAGAGCTAGGATCAGAGGGTTTATATCCTCAGTAAGTTGAGAATTCAATGTGAAGCCAATTGCTACTAGGTGGGTCATTCTCTGAGTTTAACTCAAGTTGATCTTTACTCGTATAGAATATAGTATAGAAAATTGTATCTTCCTGTTAATATAAGTTCTGATATTTTTAAATAAAGAGTAATAGGCAGGACTGCTGAATTAAAAAAAAAAGTTTTTAATATCAAATTTTACATATAAACAATATCTCTTACTCTACCTAAAACTAACTCTAATCTCTAATGTTAAGATTATTTAATTTTTAATAAAAATTTTATAATACTGGATAATATCACTATAGGTAAAAATTAGTTATAATCTATTTTTAAATTATATCAAAATTGTAAAAATTTAATTTAGCTTTGAAAGTATTTTATTCTTTTTTTGATATATTTATTTATAAAATTTAATTTAAAGTTAATATATAAAAGAAGAAACATTATAGTTTCAAAGTTTATAAGTAATTCTATATATTTTTGCTATAATTTTATATATAAAAAATTTATGTCCAAAATTCTGTAAAAAATCGAGTAACTGATATTTTTTGTTTTTAAAAAATTATAACTATTTAAAAAATTTTATAATTAAAAGATGATGGCTTTAGATAAAATCTATTATAATAAAAAACTACAATTAACTGTATAAACTAGAAAAACAGAGCATAGTGAACAAGTTCAAATTTGGATAATCAACATAGTAACAGCCAATTTAATAAAAAAAATTTTTGATTTTTTATACAGTTTAAAGTACTTTGTATTCTCGTAATTTTTCAAAACCTATCAATTAAATCTGTTTTAAAAAGAAAGCTAGCAAAAGACCTCTATATAACCTACCTTATATTAAAATTAATCAAAAATAATCACAATATTCAAGAAGTTTTGTTAGAGATGAGTTTTATAAGAAATCAAAGATAGTTGAATTTATAATTCGAACAAAAAAGTTTTTTTGATATTAAAACTAAAAGTAAGTAGCGTAAAACTAAGTTTTAATACTTTTTAGAAAAAGCAATAATGAACCCAAAGTAGTTCTTATACAAATAACAGAATAAATAAATAAGTTAACTCATTTTTATATAGTTTAAATTTAAAAGTTTATTACAAATAAACATATTATTTTATAAGTTAAATTTTAAATATTTTTAACTACTACAATTTAAAATACAAATAGAAATGATTTAAAAATATACAGATACTTAAAAATAAAATTTGAATTAAAAATATATAAGTAAATAAGAGATTATAATATTGTTAATATTTTACATTTCAGTAGATAGAGTTTGATGAATCTTATACTATTCAATTCATCTCATTGAGACAAATCGAATGGTATAAGATTTATCAAATTCTGACTACTGGATTGTGAGATATCTTTGATTTAGTAAATAAAGATTTTTTGAACATAATTGTAATTTTATAAAAAAATTGATTAGCCAATTATTATATGCACAGACATGACCAATTGATCTTTTTCAGAATCACTAACAAAATTTCACTGTCACGTGACAGTAAAATTGTACACAAAAAAATCTTTAAGTTTATTTAAGTTAGAGTTAGTATTTATGATAAAGTTAAACAATAACAAAGTATATGGGAGATCAAAAGTAGAAACCACCAAATTTATTTCTAAGTAAATTTTTTTTAGACTTTAAATTAAAATATCTCAACAACTATTAAACCAAACTTGCCAAATTTTTTTTTATTTTAATTCTATAACTATATAGAATTAAAATAAAAAACATTTGGCAAGTTTGGTTTAATAGTTGTTGAGATATTTTAATTTAAAGTCTGGAAAATTTTATTTAAAAATAAATTTGGTGGTTTCTACTTTTAACCTTCTATATAGTAAAATTGTACAAGAAAATTTTTTTGTTAAAGCACAAAAGGTGGGTAATAAATGATTTTTTTTTAAAAAAACAAATGTTTTGTTTTGATTTTCTTGATCATATAATATTATATTAGGATTCTAAAATATATATAGATAGGTCAGATTAGAGTTTGCTTATTTTTGGCCTTTTTGTACAGATTATTTCTATTTTTAGTAATTAGTTTGCTTATTTTTGACTTTTTTTTTGCAGATCTTTTTATATTTAGTAATTTTTTTATAAAACTTTACTCTTCTATACGTATTTCAGAGTTATATTATATCAAAGCAAGACTTGCTATTAGATAAGTTATGTAGATCATCACATGATAATGAAATTTTGACAGGAAAAGCTATGAACACAATAAAACATGTGACTTATCTTCTTATTGGCACAACAATGATTGATATAAACATTTCAAATTTTAGATATGAATTTTAAAATTGTTTATAACTTTGAGCCAAGATATCTCAGCAACTGGCCAACAAAATTCAATGAACTTTTTTTTTATTTTGATTCTATAGAGCTATAAATGTATAATAAAAAGAGTTTATTGAATTTGATTGGCTGAATGTCTTTATTCAAAATTTTAAAAAATTCAAAATAACTAAACTCTATAAAAATTTGAATGAAAATAACTTAACAACTACTCAACAAAATTTGATAAACTTTTTTTTATTTTATTTTACAATACTGTAAAAGAAAATAGAAAGAGTTTATCAAATTTGACTGAATGGTTGACGAGTTATCTTTGTTTAAAGTTTTACAAAAATTTTTTTTTTAATATTAAGATGACCACTTTGGGGTCTGGCATGGTTTATTAACTTCTCAGTTTAATTATCAGGATGCCAAATAGGCACCCCTTGACTCTGTTACATCAACGAGAGTACAATTGGTCACGCATACAATTTTAGTCATTGTCTATTTAAGGGCTCTGCTATACTATTTATAGTTATCTACCAATTGCCATATCTAGGATCTACTTGTAGATCCTCTATTTAAACCCTCTGATCGACTTAGCATTGTCAGATGCTTTCTCCAGAAGAATTTCTGCCACTAAGGCCCCTTAGAACTACTTTATTCTCGTGATAAACCTACCAGAGTGGTCCATGTCTCACACATGTATCACCTGGTTTTTTGAGCATGGTGGACAAACTATGTTATACAAGCCTTTCATATCTGAAATTCCGACTCAGAGATGACTCAGAGCCAATCCGATCAATGAAATTGCTCAATTTTTATAATATTAATGTAGCATCTTTAGCTCTTCGCTTCACTTACACAGTTTATTTTACTTATTAATTACTGATCCACTAATGCCTTTACTTACTACAAACAATTACACTAGTTACTTTCTTTTTTTTTTTTTTTTTTTTGTAATATTATATATAGTCAGACCCCCTAAATGCGACTCCCTAAGTGCATGTCCTATGAAAAGTCTCTAATGTATGTCTACTCTTGGGCCCAACTAATATTACGCTCATAAATTTTTACCTCCCTAAATACAATATTTCTTTAAGTGCACCTTTGGCTAAATTTTTACATATGGTCTGTCGCATTGCATTTAGAGAGATCTATATTAAAAGAAGTAGATTAAAGTTTAAATTATTATACAGTATGCCGCTTTATTTTATTTTATACTTACATATTTAATAAGTTTGCAGATTATATAGTATAGCGATCTCAAAATATATGGATTAACTCAAGCGCTACAACAAATGTGTAAGTATTTGATGAATTGGATTCTAAAAGAATTATGGAAAATATGCAAATTTCAACCGATATAACACTTTTGAAGCTTGATATCAAATGTGTAACTCTCAACAAGAATGAACAAGCGGAAACAAAGATATTGATACTATATTAAAGGGTTTCAACTTAGAATTATAGAACATGGAGATGAATCGAATGGATCCTTTTAGTAGATTAGATAATGTTCAAAAGAATAGAGACAAGTCCTTGGCAAGGTGGTTAGATGGCGTATAAATAATCACACATAGGATGATAGTTACATACACCATGTAGAGATGAGCAATTACTTAGAATTAACTAGAATCTCGCTAAATTATTATTTTTGTGTTAATGAACGAACGATTGATTACAAGCGAATTTTTTTTTTTTTTACATGTAAAATTATCCAATAATTATATAATAAATGTAATTTATTTTATTTATTTACAAAAAATAAAACTGTCTAGTGTTACATTAAAAAATAAATACTTTTTTTTTATTGATTAAATTATTTAATTCATCAAATTATATTGAAAAAAAATATATTAATGCTAAATATTTAAAAATCTTTCAAGAGCCGTAGAATAAGCTTGCTTCACTCTCGGTAATGCTTGCTTATCTTTTCGAAGCACTTCTAATATATCATCTTCATCTAATATCTTCTGATCTCGTGGACTATCATCGTCAGCATCAATAAATTCCTTTAGATTTGATTTCTTAGTATCTAATTTACTTAATCGTGAAAGAAGAGATAAAACATTATTTCGTATACCCAATTTAAAAATATTTTCACAATAAAAGCATTTTTTATTTAATAAAATAGTGAAACAGCTCTTATGGTATCTATGACCACATACGATAACCATAAAGCTTTTACCTGTCCCATCGTATAATAGTTTATGACAATGATCGTATTTGTCATATGCTAGCAAATGTTCACTGCTAAATCCTAATAGCATTTGCTTTTTGTTCACAATAAAGTCTAACGATGCCAGTTTATAGGTAATTTTTTTATTCCGACCCTTGATGATGGAGCTTTGATCAAGCTTTCGATAAACGTTACCAAAGGTTTCAAAAAGAAACACCTCCGCTTTTTTTGTTAATAAAGCCAAATGATCGTTATCCACATATGTAGATTTTTTTTGAACAACGAATACATCTTCAAATCCGCTAAGGGTCTTTCTGGCGTCAACAACTTTGGCTGTTTTAGAAAGTTGTTGCGGGGTATTACAAGGTGAGGTCTGACGTCGTATTCTACTGTGAATATTCTCAACAGGATAATCTGTAAACTTAACTAAATGATCTTTTAGTATATCTAATATCGGATGATTATTCTGATTCCAATAGAATATATCTGAAAGAAATGCTAAAAGCGCTTTATTATAGTTATACCTTTCAAACCTCAAAAAAATACACCATGCCCGAAATACGCCTTCGATATATGAATTCCAATCCTCAGACCGAAATAAAGTTGAATATATATCTAACCCGACTGGTACTATATTGTCTAATAATTCAAATAAAAATAGAAACTCAGTATCTTTACAACAATTATCAAACTTACCTACTATGATTGGTTTGATTTCTTTCCAAGCGCCCCTTATTAGCTTTAAAAGAATGAATATTTGATACGGGCTTGGTGATTTACTCAGCATTTTAGTTGTACTAAAGATATATTGATACTCCAAATTAAAAAAGTCCTAGTAGGTCTTTAATATTGATTCGAGTAAATTCAGTTGAATATGAAGAATACCGATAATTGGAATAAAAGATAATATA